GTAGGTCTTGGCCCTCTATGGGCTGTCGTCCAACTGAGTTTAGTTTAAATATGAAATTAATATTTAATCTTTTTCATAGAATTTGTTTTTTAAATATAGGTAATAACATACATATTTTTTTAATTCCTTTCATATTATTATCTTATTTCCCCCTTATTCTTATTAGGAAGAAATTCATGATTTGTTAGAACATTTGGAAGAGTTTGGAGGAAAGCCAATTGTTCTTAAGCCTCATTTAGCTCCTAGCATGTCTAATAACATAGCCACGCTTGTTTTCGGAGAAAGGCTAAATTATGATCATCCAGTGCGTCGAATGCTGGATAAGGGTTTAAGTGAATCAGCTGCAGCTGCTGGACAAGTTGCATGGGAACTATTCTTTCCATTCCTAGCCAGCGTTGTAAAATTGTTCGGCTTCAGTGGAGCAGCTAAAATTGCTAAAACTCAAAAAGAAACAAGAGATTATATCATGTAAGCATATGTTACTTAGATGTATTCGTATTTACTCTTAGTTAGATGCGAAATTTAAAGATATGATATTCACTTCCAGTTTTTTCGCTCTGAAGTAGCAATAAAATAATCGGCAGCAGTCTGTCCATCCAATTAGGAGTAAAGTTTACGCATAGTAAAAATTGCATATCTTACGATTCAAAATTTTTTCGACTGCTCTCAAATAATAAAATAAAAATATTTAATACTATTAAACCACCTAAAAAAATATTGCTGCAGAGCAAAGGAAAACAATTTTTTAACTTTGCTTCAATATTAGTAAAAATTTTTCTAAAACTGGGCCGAACAAGTTAATTTTTTATTTCCATGCTTTACATATTAAAATTCAATTATAATAAAAATTTTCTGGTTAAGATGGTAGGATGTTTGAACATTTTTAGGGTCAAGGTTTGAGCCAGTTTTCTGAAGTTATAGTCAAAATATAAATAATATTATCCCCCATATAAATAACAATAGTAATTATGTTCGTATGCAAATGCAACATTTTTTATAAAAGTTAATTGATAAAATTATATACAGTTTATAACTCATTTTCATTTATCACCAAAGTTGAAAAGGTTAGGTTTCATAATGAGGTTTCATTGTATTAAGAAAACTAAATACGATTATGACGTAAATTTCATATATAACGAAAAATACTTACAAATATTTTTAAAAATATAGTTTTTTTAAGTATAAATTGAAAGTTATAAATCTGAAAAAATACAGAATGTTGCCATATAGGCCATCACAAAATTTAAGACTTGTTTTCTCAAAATTCAGCATGAGAAACAAAAGATTTTAATTTTTACTCAATGGAAACGTTAATAAATGTTATATTCGTAAAGATGAAAATTAGACAACGAACACGATACTTGAAAGGTTTTCGTTATGTTAATGTGTATAAAAAAGAGATATTAATAGTTTTTTTTGGATTTATAAAATAAAAAAAAAATTCGATTTATTTTAATACATTTAATATTTATTATTTTACCACTAAAAAATTTTAAGTAACACATTTTTTTTCCTTCTAGGAAACAAATTGATCAACACGAGAAAACTTTGGATGAAAACAATATAAGAGATTACATTGATGGCTATTTATTAGAAATACGAAAAAGAAATGACAAAGCTTTTTGCAGTAAGTGAGATTTTCTTTATTACGTAGAAAAAAAAAGCAATAGCCCCATTTTCTCTCTAATGGTTGCTTTGAAAATAAAGGCTAATTGATATTTAGGCTAAAGAAGCTCCACCTAAACTTTATGCTATAAGTCCTCGAGTGACGAAGTTAAAATAATATGAAGATGAACCTTAAATCAAATTGTGAACAATTATTATAAAAAATTTTTTATCCTAAAAATCATTTTTAATGATTATATATTTTTAATAACTTTTTGTGCCATGATGTTAAACTTCGGAAAACATTCTTTAAGAAGAAAATGAGTAACGCGATTATGTATCCTCTGTCATATTTACTGTAAATATTTTTGTTCTTTCTTTTTTCAAATACTGTAAATATTTACTGTAAATATTTCTTTCTTTCCTTTTTATATTCATTTCTTCCTGTTCCATTATTACTATGCAGGATGAATTTCTTAAGTAATATATCAGTGGATTATTAACTTCACATAAACCTTATAAGCGAAATAATTAGAATAATGCATTGCAAATGTTACTGCCTGGAAAAATGTCGAAGACTATAAAATAAACTTACACTACATTAAAAAGTCAATGATAAGCTAGAATAGTTTTCTCATTTTTAAAACTAGGATTAGGTCACTATTCTGCTTTATAATCTGCCAATTTCAAAGTTGCATGGAAATTTGAAATCGATGCGGGAAAAGTTAAAACAACTGAATTTTAATATTTTTATTTATTAAATTAAATATAGTTAATGTTGGAGAAATCTGCCTGCTGCTGGATTCACTCAACAATATATATATATATATATATATACACAGT